CATCTGGTCAGGGACTAGGAAAGCAAGTAGTTCTGCCTTTCTACCAGTAAAATATGATACACTGTCTGCAACTGGGTCTACAGGGGACTCATAATCGCAGAGGCATTGATACAGATAGCTGAATGAGAGGGTTTCCTCAACTTTATTTTAAAAATACTTAATGCGCTAAAAATTTTCTTCATTTGCAATCAGGGAATATGTGAACAAATCCCAAGAGGAATGCCACTTTTGATTCTGAGGAGATGTACATGTAAAATGAGAAGGAATGGGTTTAATCTGACAGGTCTTCCTCTCCCCTTATCATAGACAGCTGTTGTCAGACTGAATTAGAAAGTTTGCAGAAATACATTGCTTAAGCAGGAAAAAAGGGGAATGTTCATAAAACCCTGCAGAATCTGCACACAGATTGTTATTTGGCCCTTAAATATTAAATGACTGGTTTTAAATAGGCCTGGTGCAGATGGGTTTTGCCACAGGTTTATTGATTAAAATAGCTGCTTTACATCAGCTCTAAGTTTGTTTCTCCAGAGGCTTTTGTCTTCATAAATAATGTACCCATTTGCTGAAATTTTGTTAGAACTCATCTGCTGAAGACCGGCTGTATATCTCTAGGTTGCTAAGCCTCAGTTGACTAGGCTCAAAATTGTGACAGTCCCTGCACTTACCTTCTTAGAAATGAACATTTCCTCTCCTACCCATCTAGTGCTGATCAAATCTAGTGCTTGCACATTAAGAGAGTGCACTTGGAAAAAGCTCTGATTGTGTTTGGCTGTTTGGGAAAGGCTTGTATGATACAGAAGGCTGCCTTGGCTGTACTATCCAAATGCTGTAAGAATGAGTGGAAAAATGTCAGTGAGGGTTGGATTGGACCATTAATTTTGAAACCTGTTTTAGATGGGCATGTTTCATGCCTTCAGTGTTTTAAGACTTCCAGTTTGCTGGATATGTCTAGTGTGTGTATGATTAGGGTCTTTTTACACTATTATTATGGCTTTTTTATGCCTTTCTAAATAAGTGTACCTCGTTTTCTAGGAGATGCTTGTGCATTTTGTGTTATGTTCAAAGAGTGTTTCTTTGCTTGTATAGGGGATGGTGGAACAGACAATGCACAGCTTCCCCTTGCAGACTGAGGCTTGCAAGTTCTGTTATCCCTCTGACTAGAGTTTGCCACTCTGCAACAGGAGAACACTACTGCAGGACCCATAAGAAAGGAGGTCTATGACAGCACAGAAAGCAAACAGAGGTGTTAACATGCTTTTCTTCCTCCTCCCTTCTGCTCCCCTTCCCTATCATAGAAATATTTGTCTTTGCTTTAGCTATCCACTACTACAATAGCTGTTCATTAAACCAGAGCAGGAGGAAGGTCAGAGTAATGCCTTCGATGAAAATATGTGAAATTAGGCTTCCCTGTCTCATTTGCGCATGAGAAAATATCATTGTTGGTAGAAGAGCTAATTGAATTTCATGCATCTGGAAATGTAGCCAGTCGCAGACAATCTGGCCTGTCTTTACTCTTGGGGAGATGGTAAGCCTTTCTTTCTACAAGTTAATTTTACACCAAGACAAAACCAGAAAAAAGTAACAGTTGATACCAAGAACAGGATATTGCAGGGCCTGAACTTTTGCCTGAATATTTTTTCTGTTTTGTTTAACCAAATGAAAATCTCTTCAAGATGTCATTTGGCAAAGTGTTTTGACCCAGGTGAGATCCCAGATCTTGACAGTATATTAGTTTTTCCCAAAGTATCTCTGACTTGCCTCTTTTTTTTAAGGCATGGAAGTCGTGAGAATGATAACTTGCTTCTTTATGACAGTAAAACACGCAGCTAGAATCATACTAGGAGGGTAGCTGACAGGCACTAGATAGATGGTTACTCTGTGGATGTTAGCAGCTGAGAATCCTCCCTTCTTGGGACACCTGTCTGGTGACCAGTGCTGCCATAGTATATTTCTCACACTTCTAACAGACCTGAGAGAAAGATGTGTGACCGGAAATATGAGCATCCACTGGATTTTTTTTCCTGTCAGGAAAGCCCCCTGTGACTGTGGAGTGAGTGTATGTGGTTTAGAGCAGGTCATTACACTTTCTTTCTTTCCTCCCTTAGAGCCTGTCATGAGCATGGGGTAGACTAGTCAATGCATAAAATGCCCAACATGATTAGTATGAACTTTTCAGCAGTCTCACTTCCTTCCATTATGGCTATGAGCACGAGTCCCCATAGTGTAGTTAGGCCAATATTTGAGCAGTTAGGAAAGCCTCCCCCATGCTAAATTGTATGGCCTGGAACTGTAGGGGGATGTTGAAAGTCCTCCCCACTCTTTGCCAAAATACTTCATATGTGTAGTGAACAAAGAAAACCTAGTTTATTGGGGTTGAACTTCTGGTGTCTCCAGTGGTGGAAGCTCTTGCTGAGGCTTTTCCTGTGGTTGAGATATTCGAAACCTCTCTTTGTGGCTTTACTGCTACATCAGAAAGTTTGAGCTTATGCTGTTGTGTTTCCTTGTGAAAGCAGATATTGACTCTCTAGCCCCTCTGTTAACAATGGATAACATGAGCCAACAAGCTCAGAGTTTATTAGGGTAAGACAGGGAGGTGCGTATGTACATATCAAGAGGCTGTGGTTTTATAAACCTTATTTTCTCAGGATGCCAGGCTACATGGTTCCAAAATATGCTTGATGAATCCTTTCAACTGAAACCACTGATAGTAGCATCAGTAATTGTGTTAGATATCTTCCTGTTCAAACATTGTGTTCAAGGCATGCAACTAAACAACATTGCAGTAGTATTTTTAAAAATATATAATAATTTTAGGCACACTAAATATGGATAAATATGTTTTTCTTCCTTCCTTTCAATCAATATTTTAATTGAAAAGGCAGTGGTGTTTTAATACCGTCTTTCATGTTGTTGATGCTTTAAGGAACTAATGACACCTGTTTTACCAAGCATAAAGAGGAACCAAATTATAGGATAATGTGTATTGGTTATTTTATTGTTTCAAATAAAGATCTGAAAGGTGATGAAACTGTGCAATTAAGAAACAAAACAAAGGAATAAATTCTGCTGATGCTGTGGGATACTGCATTAGCAATGGGTGGAGAGTTAGGATACATTAGCTAAGGAACCTGGCATGACTCCCGCATGTAAAAATATTTTTAAGTGCCTAAAAATTTCCATCACTTGTTATGACCCATTCTGCACTGTTTAACCTTGTAGGAAACACTGTGTGTTGAGTTTTGATCTTCAGAAGGGCTACTGCTAGAGGTTGTGGACAAAGGTCTGTAACTAACTGGCCAAAGCACTCCTAGTTATGTGTGCTAAATCCTCCAGTTACCTGCATTTCTGCTGTACTTCCACAGACACGGCTGAAGTGCAAGGGCAGAACTGCCCTGGTTGGCAGCAGAGCAGGATGCATGCCTAGGATGTTCAGTAGCAATTGGAGACTTTAATGGCTGTAGAGGACTAATTAATTCTGATCCATACAGACACATTGGCTTCTTGTGCAGTCAGAATCTCAATTAGGCAATCAAATTTTTTCCTTTCACAGTGACCATTGCTCCAGCTGTGCTGTAACTCTTTCCTCTCTGTATCTGCCAATCTTTCTCTTTTTTAAAGCAAAGAAAATGGTATACTTTGTCAGGAAAGTTTCCTTCTTTTCTTTCCGTTTGTTCTGTTTGCATCTATCTAGATATTTGCGTATCTGGTTCTGATGTTCTATAATCCCTCAACCTTCATTTTCAGACCCTTGTTATGAAATGAGATCATGACTCCTTCCTCAGCTTCTTTATTCCTCCAACCCAGGGTTTCTAACCCTTCTTTTCCCCCCTCCAACCCTCAGCCCCTGCTGAGTCAGTTAAATATACATGTGCTCTTTTCCCCTTTGTTCCTTCTTTTCCCTTCACCCCTCTGCGGCTGCTTTTTTTATGTCAGCTTTGATCTGTTTGTTGGCAACACTAACATTTTTAAATCTTTTGTAATTTGTTATTTTTGTACATTGTTGTAAAATTAAATATCTTGGAAAGGAAACATGGGTTGCCCCATTCACTGCAGGAACAAACCCATTGTTACCTGGTTGGGAAGGCTATGTATGTAACTGAATCTGTGCTGGGGAAGTGCTGAGGCAATGGTCCAGTCCACTGCATGCTGTCAATCTGGTTTAAATAATGAAGGTATATCCCATAATCATCTATACAGTTAGGCCCAGTTTTGCTAAGCCAGGCTACTGCAGCAAAAGGGAAAATGAAGGGTCAGTACTTAAGCCTCTTTATGTTCCTTTGTTGTGCGTGGTGACCAAAACCATGAGAAACGTGATCCTTTGTGATAAGAACTGTGACACAAATCCCTGGAATTCAGTGAGGTTCTTCTGTTTATCAGCAGGGGCACTGAGAGGTCCCTCATGTTTTAAAACCCTTCACACTCTTGAAGTATTATCAGAGGTTTTATCCACAGGTTAGGGTATCCTATAACTTGTGTTGCTGCTGGTATGTTTCTGTACCTACATCTGTTCCAGACTTTTTTTATTTTTTTATCTCTTCTGTTGCTTTTGTGAAGATGATATGAACTGTTATTAATTATGACTAGTGTTTTATGCAAGCCACTACACTGACTTATGGTAAAAAAAAAAAAAAAGCCACTGTAATGACTGTGAGTTCCTGCTGAGATGTAATTTCCTTGACCACCGTCAGTTGAGAGGTTTTCTCCTGGCAGTGACAGTAGTAGATGAATTTTTTGCCAAGTATCTACAGACACTCTTGGCATCAGTCCTCAGGGACATGACTCCATATGGTCACTCTGGCCTGCAGAACCTGGTGCTAAATTAGATCTCTGTCCTTTTCAGCTCTATTTTTTTTTTGTCAGATGCCTTTCAATCCTCTCTTATAAGAAATAAAGAATAAAACCTTCAAATTAGTCCATATCCCATTCTCCACACTGAGAATGAACTTTATTTGTGGCCTTTTTTTACCAAAGATTGACTGGATTTTGTTGTTTTGTTCCAGGTCACCAGTTTCTTCAGAAGATCAAGGTAAGATCTGTTTTATTGATACTAATGGTGTATTAAAAATGAGACCAAAGAATAACTAGTAAGCTATATTTTAACACCCTCATGGTGGAGAAAAATGACTTTGTAAAAATGAAACTTTGATCTTGATCAAACTTTGCTCACCCCTAGACATTAAGTGCTTGATCATTTAGTTGATTTAGTTGGGACTGACAGAAGTTAAGCCAGTGTTATTTGTGAAATCAGTCTTACTTAATCAAATGGAACAATTGCAAGCATTTACAATTTATTCACCCAACTGTACAGGGCTTCACCTGTGGAAAATGACGTGTGGGCTTAAAGCAAAATATATGTTTCTTGTAAAGATAAGTGCCTCTCTTATAACTCTTACAGGACGGCATCTTTGTAGCTGAAAGGAGAGTCTATTGTGTTTTAAAGTCTTGAACATACATTATCTTGTGTTACCAGTAAAGTGAGTTTGGTAGGACAATATGGAATTTAGCACAGCTAGGAGCTTCTACATGTAAAAATCTTACAGTTTAAAGTAGCAAGTGTTGCAGGTTATGGTAATATGCTTGCACAGAAGGAGACTGAAGGATCTGATCTTTACCTATGGACTGAAGAGGGAGTTTGAGGTAATTAACTGGTTAATAACTTGACCAACTTAAGTTCTTAGAACTAGGTGCTATAAATATCCCTCTACAGTACATTAAAGTGTGGTTGCATTGGTACTGAAATGAAGACATACAGTAAGGGGGGGTGGTAATTGCATTGGCAGAGTTGCATAAGGAAGGGAGGAAAAAAAAAAGGAGACTGACTGCAAGGAGAAAGTTCATCATGTAAATCTGAACTGGGAATACTATTTTGGGCCTAAAAAGAAATAAATATCTATTTTCTTCTGGCATTCAATTTGTATGCAGTCATACAGTCCGCAAGTTTTCTGGCCAATGTAATAAGTATTATTCAAGAAAGGTCCAGATGGGAATAGTAAGGACTGTTGCAAATGGAGATGTAAGGAGGTCTGAGCGTGGAAGCATGTCACTGAACTATGTTAACTTGGAATGTGGAGTGACTAGTTAAGTATCAACCTAAATAAGCCTTGGCTCCAGCCAAGAGCTTTTTAGTCCAATACAGTTGCTGTCAAACATATTGTCATTAATAAATTCTCTTTCATCTCCTTGACAAGTTCTTTCTTAGTAAAGAGAGATATAAAGAAAGCCATAAAAATGGACAAACATGTAAACCCAAAGATACATATAGCCCATCTATTCCATTCCTAGTGTCTGATAGCAGTGGATCACCTGACAACTAAGAATATGAGACTGGCAGAAGTATACAGGTTTAATTTCCTGGTGTAGCCTATTAGCTTCCTATGATTTGCAGCTCATTGATTTTGTGAAGCAGATGGAATTTTCCTGTTTAATGGTTCATCTGCTTTTTACCATGACCATAGTATGGGAGACTTGTGAGAAGTTAACAACATACCTCATGTCTCCAACCCTCAGAGGAAAGTTGAAATCATTATAGTCTAATATACTATTTCAGGACCTGGATTCAAGCTGCGTTTCAGTGCATAAGCTTGTTAGTGATAGGCTGCTCTTGCTTTTTCATTTCCCTTGAATTTATACTATTGCTTCATTTTTATCTATTAATGGAGCAACAGACAGTGTATATATATCTCTTTGCGAATCTTTGAAGTTTAGTCTTTTCTGCTGTCATAATGCTTTCCTTCTTTCCACTATTTTTATGCTATTCTGTTTTTTTCACAAAACCTTCCTGTTTGCCATCTACCATCTGCTGCCAGGGTCTGGCTTTTCAGGTTTGATCAACATCTCTGAGTAGCCTCTTCCTTCCCTTTTTTCCTTTTCTCTCATAAGAAACCTCCTCTTAAATGTAGAGTGAAAGACTTATGTTCCCTTGACTGGTTAGTGATACTGCTAGTTATTAGATGTTTTGTGACCATGGAGTATCTAACTAGACTTGTCATCCATGTGTAGGAGCTTCTCTCAAACACAAAAGATTTCCCATGTCCCAGTGACTTTTCAGATAGAGAGGTCCAATGCTTGAACTTCCTTCACTGTGCCACATACAGACCATGTGTTAGTATCGAGCCCAGTATTAAAAGGAAAATGTGATAAAAGGACCGTAGCATAAGTTTTTTTAGAACCTAGATGCTTCTCAGTCCACTGAGACTGCATGTGTGGAACATCTCAAATTAGTCTTAAATTTCAAATCTCTTACCTAAACAAAAAAGAGAGGGTTCACAAGAGAGCTGAAAACTTATCTCTGAATTGCCTGTCTTTTATAGTGTTTATGCAGACATCTCCTGGTATATTGTTCTTGGAGTATGTATCTTGGAATCAATTTTGAGACTTCTGTTTTCATTAATAATCAGTGCTCAACTGTGTGCCTATTCAGTATGTTAAGCACTTATGTAGTTTTATAAGGCAGTAATGCTTTGGGGTACACAATGGTTCAAGATCCAACTGTAGAATAACGTACCTTCACTGGTATCACTCTGTGTCGTGTGTTACAGCTCCTCTTCCTACTATGGGACACCATTCTAATGCTGATTTTCTGAAGACGTGATATTGATCATTTCTGAGAAAAGGCACTTTCTCTTTTGTCTTGGATCTAGTTCTAACCTTCCACTTGGTTCCTGATCCTTGTTTTGTCTGCTTTATTATTCAGTCCTCTTTTTTTCTTCTACTATTTCTCAATGTTTTTTTCTTCTTTCCATCATCTTTGTCTTTCTTTTTTAAATATCTCTTTCCCATTGACCATGATGTTGCATTCTGCATAGAGTCTTGCATTGTGCTCCTCCATTTGGTTTCTGAATGTCCTGAATCACCTCCAGTGTGGACTGCCTGCTTCAAGTACTAGTTGCAAACAGTAGCTGCAGCATCTGTAGTGTACTAACAGACTTGCTACCAGAATTAGCATCTAATGTGAGTGGCACTTCCATTAATCCCTGATGGGACAATGCATTGTGCTGTCTTGAAAAGTGGGTGAGGATAAAGCACCATCTGTCTGAGACTGGGCATCTATTGAACAATTGTAACAGCACACAGTGCTCCTTGTTGTGGACACGTGTTAAAGGCACCCTTATCAGTTACAAAGCAGAGCCATTTTAATTGGCACAGAAAGGGAAACAGCACTACTAGAAAATGCCAAACTTCAAAAGAAAAAATGCCAAAAACTCTTAGAGATTTTAAAAGTTTTGTGTCTTTGTTCTTGGTACAGGTAGTTAGGAAATAGATAAGTAAAGAGTGAAATCTATAATCTTATTTCCTTTTTTTTTTTTAATTAAAAAAAAAACCAACCAACCAAATGAAACACAAAAGGAGCAGACAAAACCCCTAACCCTCAAATTCTCTAACTGATTGACAAAATTATACAAACCAAGTAAATACCAAAGCAGAGTGGTTTAGACAGGGGATTGGAGGGATGACTGAAGAATGACATGGAGGAGAAACCTGTTCAGTCACAGAGGCCCTGGTGCAGTTACATACCCTGCAGCCCTGGAAGACAATGGTCTTCTTTGGGTGTTGGGATTAGCTGAGACTCAACTATGGGCAAGTGTCAGGGCCACAGAAGACCTGGTGGATGCCATGAGGGAGGGCCATGCAAGTGATCTGTTAGTTAATGCTACCACCTGCTATATTTTCACTATGTAAAAATCCTGGCCATATGCTCAGGAGGTCTGAAACTGTTGGAGGTTACTCCATCCATTGTTTCTAGAGCAGGTATGGTACTGTGAGGGGAATGCAGACTTTTAATGCATTGCCTGGCTAGTCCACAGTCATTGTCTGATTATTGTTAGGTGAATTGTTGAGGGTTTAAAACCCCTTCCTTCATCCTGCACCTTTCAGTGCTGCACTGTACATTACATGTACACTAGACTGTGCCCTGCCTGCTCCTCTTCACAGCCACCCTGTAGAAATTTGCCTACAAATTTTCCACTGCTAATGTATTAAATAACAATATATTTTACATTATCTTTGGCCTAACTTTATCTGGCCAAATTTGCCTTATCCCTGCTAATCTGTGTGACTGAGTTGGCTCTTCTTCATCATGATGTAAGCAATTGAGGGAAACAGTCTTAAAAAGAGTACAGTGAGTTCCATTTCCATTTCAATTATTCTGAAAAAAATACCAGCAAGCTCTTGAGTGTTGCTATTAATGGTGTAGGGACATTGGCATGCTATTCATCTAATGGCAACTTGGAGCTGATACTGCTTTGTCTAACTTCAAACAGAAGAACCTTGCCTTTGATGGAATTACTCAGTTTTAAGTGGCTAAACTAATGCACCTCAAGTAGCAGTCAACCAGAGCTTAATCCTTATGCATCTGAGTTGCATTCTAATCTGGAGAATAGAGGTTTCAAATATTTATGTCACTGCTCTCTTTCTCATTTCTCTATGAACCCATGACACTGGGCTTTTTGCCTTGTTTGCTTTCAGCAGACATATATTTTTTTTTTTATATTTTTTTTTGCTGCATCAGCATATTTTCTGTGATTAAACTCAGGGTTTCTGTTTTTGTTTTGTTTTTCTGGTGCAGTAGATTCAAAATTCATGAGGATAGGATAGAAATGAGAAATTAAGACAAGAGGCGAATATATTCAATGGAGAAATTTTGGAGTTACTTATTACAAAATAATAATAATCAAGAGATTAAGGTAAGGGATGGGTTTTCTTCTTGAAAAGACAGATAGCAACGCTAAAAGGTCTTTCAGAGTCTGACAGGTGGTGGTTCCATGCTGATACTTAGTATCCAGCCTGGATATCCTACGCTTAGAAGGGATTTGTGTGGAGCCGGGAGTGCATTAGAAGTGAAGTGAGTTTGTAATGGTGACATCCAAATAAGCCTCTATTAGAAAAAAATTCCACAGCAGATGCTTGACCCAGGTTCAAACTGGAAGTTTGAGGTGAGAGGTTTAATTCTGTCTCTAGATGTCCCTCTGGACTGAGAGCTGCTATATGAATTAAGGAAGAGAGTGATCAAGTGCGTGAATGGAAGGC